AAAATTTTTTAAAAATCTTCTTCTCAAGAACCACTGGGCCAGAAAAGCTGAAACTTATATGGAAGCATCCTGGGGTAGTGTAGATTCTTTATTGTTCAAATCATGACCCCCGGGGGTAGGGCGGGGCCACAATAGGGAATCCAAGTTTTACATGAAATACATAAAAAAAATCTTTAAAAAACTTCTTCTCAAGAACCACTGGGCCAGAAAAGCTGAAACTTTTATGAAAGCATCCTGGGGTAGTGTAGATTCTTTATTGTTCAAATCATGACCCCTGGGGGTAGGGCGGGGCCACAATAGGGAACCCAAGTTTTACATTGAAATACATAAGAAAAATCTTTAAAAATCTTCTTCTCAAGAACCACTGGGCCAGAAAAGCTGAAACTTTTATGAAAGCATCCTGGGGTAGTGTAGATTCTAAATTGTAAAAATCATGACCCCCGGGGGTAGGGCGGGGCCACAATAGGGAATCCAAGTTTTACATTGAAATATATAAGAAAAATCTTTAAAAATCTTCTTCTCAAGAACCACTGGACCAATAAAGCTGAAACTTATTTGGAAGCATCCTGGGGTAGTGCAGATTCTAAATTGTTCAGATCATGACCCCCGGGGGTAGGGCGGAGCCACAATAGGTATATATTTAAAGGGGGAGAATCTGGTAAAGAACAGCATGGCCAAAGTTACTCAGGTGAGCGATGTGGCCCATGGGCCTCTTGTTTATGTTTACATGCATTTTTAGATACAGTTTTGCTATGACCTTAACCTTAGACCTTGAAACATAGTTCAAGGTCACTGCACATCCTTTAAAAGAGACTTCGGACGAGGAGATGGACGGACAGACACACTAATTACTATAGGTCGCCCGCAGAGAGGGGCCCTTAAAACGTTTTATAATCTACAGTCACTGAATCGGCAGGACATTTTATCAAAGGAAATTCAATTTATACTTTGTTGTCCACATCATATTACAAAAAATAATTTAAACTGGAACATTTGCTTGAATAAATTTTCGATCAATAAAATCAACTTCAGTTTTACCGAAGAAAAAACCGTGCCTCATTGCACGTGTCTTGGGTAGTAACGAATCTGCACGCTCGCACAAATGTTCAAATTGTGTATCACATAATTTCTTTTGTATTTAAATTTAATCTTTTAACTAAAAATCTTATCATTTTGAAAATCAATCATATTTAAAAAAGTATATATCCAAAATGAAATCACAAATCGATCACATTCACTGTAAACTTTTTCGCCATTCCTGGGTCTTCAGACATTTACATCGATTTGTGATTTCATTTTTGGATATTTACTTTTTCAAAATTATATATTTATCCGCTACTCAACATAACTAAGTTGCATGTCAACATACTTATCTCGCATGTCAACGTAACTAAGTTGCATGTTGACATAAATAAGCTGCATGTTGACATAAATAAGTAGCATGTTAGCATACCTAAGTTGCATGTTGACATAAATAACTTGTATGCTAACATATTTATTGCGCATGTCAAAATAATTAACTTGCATGTCGACATACAATGTAAATAAGTCTACTAGCATCTAGCATATATCGGAAGTCAGATATGGGCAACATTTGAGATTTTTTAAAGATTTTTTTATAATTCTTATTTGATTGCAATTTTCTTGCATGTCAACATAGTTATGTTGCATGTTGACAAAACTATCTTGCATGTCAACATATTTATCTTGCATGTCGACATATTTGACAGAAAAATAACTTGCTCACATGGGGCAGAAATATGCCAGCATAAATTTCCATTCAGCTGACTTGCATTGCATTTTGATTCGTAAAAAATATTTTGAATTAAATGTGCATGAGATTTAGTTGCAAAAACATTCTCATATATGTCACGTAAGGGATGGCTATTGATTAATTTTCTATTTGATATTGTCAGAGGTGATAATTCCTCGTAATGACTTAGAAATACTTGTTCGAAATACTATATTCTGCGAAAAATTAAACCTGCCTTCAATATACATACATCATAGCCATATCATGAATCCGGCCGGGGGTGGGGGGGGGGGGGGGGATGGGGTGGGGTGGGGGGTTGGGGTTCGTAATTTTTAGGTTGATATAGCTTCTTCTTAGATATCTTCATATGCCAATTAGCAACGTACGCTCATAGAACTAAAATTATTGTCAATTTTTTCTGCAGAAAATAGATGTACGTACATACACAATAAAAGTTATTAAACACAACTTTATCTGGTACTCGCGATAGATCGAAATTGCCCAGTTGGTTGAAGTTACATCACTCTTTCCTATATAATCAGTTTAAAAAGTCAGATAAAGAAAACAACTTTACTGTAAATTTTATAATTACATGTTCAAAGTTCAGCCAGTAGCATAAACAAAAATGTCATTGTTTTATGTTTATTTTTTTTACCTCTCCCTAGCCCTCTTTTCCGTAAGAAAGAATCTTTGACCATGCTTCACCATAAAATATTTTTTATTTTCCGTTCATTTCCCTTTTCGGAACCCCTTTGCTCGTTTAAATGTCCATTGAAATGTATTGTAGCGTCACAGTAGCGACCAAGTAGTTTGAGGTATCTTGCGAGGATTTTATCTTTTGAAATCTCAATAGCATTGAAGAATTCAATTATGCAACTGTGAATACAATGAACGATCCCCTTTTTTAGTTACGTTCGTTCGTAAGATGTCGGTTTTCTCTATTATGAGGAATTCCTATTTTTGTGTGATGTTACAGTAAGCATTTCCCGTATAATAAAGGCCCCGCCCCTTTATACAGCATTAACTGAGCTGCGTATGTATTAACGATTTCTAACAGAAGGCAGACTATTTACAAACAAGTTGATGGTACAAAGATATAAAATCAGGTTTCGAAAATTCTGTGGTCGATGCACTTATCTTGTTTGCAAAAACAATCTGTCGTTAAGCTGAATCGTCACTAACATCTTTTATGCAAATGTACAGGTTATTGTTTTCACACTGAATTGTTAAGGGATTTTTTTCCACATTTACGCGAACATGACAAGGAGAACACGCGTACGGCGCATGTGACCAGATGTTTACTACTCCATGGTACCTATGTTCTCAGAGATCCATGTTCGCTTCGCTGATAATTTGTGACTTTTTTGACTTTTGAGAATGATCACAGTTTGTTACCTCCACATTTAATTTAAAAAAGCTACCTTTTTGCTTGTGTATTATAGATAACTATATGATATCTTTTGTAAATTCCCTTCAGTAGGAAACTTTTCGTCGCCCGCGTGGCGCAGTGGTTAGAGCATTCGCTCTAGAGTCGCGGAATAAGGAGTTGATCCTTACGTCGCGGGTTCCAATTCCACTGTGGGACGTGGATACCGGTCCTTCGGATGAGACCGTATAAACCGAGGTCCCGTGTCGCAGTAGATGCTGGCACGAAAAAGATCCCTCACTGCTCAATGGCCCTGAGTGCCGAGTATAGGTCAAAAATTTGCAGATCTCCACGGTCAAGTGGTGGCGTCTCCATATGAGTGAAAATTTTCTCCAGAGGGACGTTAAACAAAAACAAACAAACAAACAAAAGAAAACATTTCATTGTAATAGCGTTTTGTTTTAGAATAGGGGATAACGTAAAAGCAATAAGAAAAATTGTAATAAACCATACATAACACAAAGGATTTTGAAAGAAACATGATTAAAAATTGAAGAAAAAAAATGTAAAAGATGAACTGTTGCTAAAAGTCAAGATCCATTAAATGAAAGGTGCCTACAGATTCACCAATTGTGAGAAATAAGTTCCTTTTATGATGGTTTATAACTATACCCTACTAAAGTAAGGTGCACTGGGGCATAATCTTAAGGTAAACTCAACGAAAAAAAAAATTAAACTGTCATTGTCACATCCTCACAATGTCAAGGTTTTAATTTTGTGTTTTCGGAACTCCACACAAACCCTTGACATAAGTCGTTACTTAAAAGTTGGGTTAGATAGCTACTATTTCATTTGTACCTGGTCTAGGACTGGAACCAATCAGAAAACAGCTTTTATTGTTGGTCAGTTTTGTAAACAAATAAGACTCGTCGTTAAAATGGAAAGTGTCAATATTGTAGGATTTGTGACTAGTTACTTTAAATGAAACATCGGGATTAATTTTTTGAAGATCTTCCTCCTTACAATCACAAAAGATATGTCCGGGAGCTGGGCAATTTGATAACGACGGATTTGAAAAAAAATATTTTTTCTTTGGTTAGTTTATAATTACCTATTACGTCATGTGTAACCACAAGCCCAACTTTTAAATAACGACTTATGTCAAGGGTTTGTGTGGAGTTCCGAAATCACAAAACCTTAACATTGTGAGGATGGCATTATCAATGAAATGTGAAGAAAATCATATATAAACATGGGAGGTTTTTTTTTATATACATATTAGAGAAAAGAAATATTTCCGGATTGCCTACAGTCTTTCAGACATCGACAATTTACAAATTGTTGACCTCTTCTTTGAAATGATTTAAAATTCAATATAGGTATCAGGATAACTTTTGACATGATTTTAAATTGAACCCCATGAAACGCTTTACTTTCAACATAATTTTTGAAGCCGTAATATACGTGAAGAAGTACGTGTAAATTGATTATGACGTCATAATTGAATCTAAAGTCATTTACTGGATCTTGACCTTAAATACATATTTATTATGAACATTCTCAAAGAGACTATTTTTTTTTCATTATAATCAGTTCTTTACTAATAAATCTATATATTTATGAAATTTAACATAAAAAAGCCTTAAAATGAATTCAAAAAAAGAAATACATGTATACTTTGATTTTATTATAAATAAATTTGATTCTAAAATCTTTCAAATACAAGAAGATTTTTATAAGAAATACAGCTCTCACCGGACTTAGGGTATCATATGATTTTAATTAAATTACAAGATTTTCTTCAAAATGAGCAAATGAAGAATAGGTATGACAAAATGCAGGTGGAACAATCACAAATGTATATTTACCGTCGTCTTTTAGGATGGGGGAGAATTGTGAACATATCCTCGGCGCTGGGGCTGGTAGGGTCCCCTAAAACCACAGGTTATTCGGCCGCAAAGACAGGACTCATTGGACTCACTAGGGTAAATATTTCCCTAATTATTTCTTAACCTAAAATAAACTAAGATATATCTTTGTAAAAGAAAAAAAAAACCAGTACTTCAATGAGAATTTAAAAAAATAAACTCCTGTCTTTTACTGGTATTTCAAATTTTCTGTTTGAAAATAAAAAGGGTACTATTGTATAGTGGGTCAAATACATATTATTTGTTCAATAAAAGGGCATTGCAGTAGAGGCTTCGCAGTATGGAGTGACGTGTAACAGTATATGTCCTTGCACAGTTGATACAGACAGTGAGTTTTCAAGTTGACAATTTTAATCGAAAGATAGTTTATTTAAATTCAAGATCATGTTCCCTCACTCCCCAAAAAATCTGATCACAGAAGACAACAGATTTAAAAGGAAATTTTTAAACAATTAGAAAAGAAAGTGCTGAAATATTTGAAATATAATTCCTGAATACATCGAAAAGTGCTTTAGTTTATCAAGTTATCCACCTTTCCTTGTCCTGAATGATAGTTTAACATTTCTCTCTCTTAAAAACTAAAACAAAAGAGAGTTTTCTCTGATTTTCAATTAATTTGCTTGTTCATTAGGTATTCAACAACATTTTGCTATTTTTAGATTTTTTTTTTTCATTAAATTCATTAAATAAAAAACCTTATACTGACAATATGATGTAAAACATAAATGATTTTGTTTCCAAGAATAAATATTAACTTATATACGCATATCTTTTAGTTGTTAAGCCACTACTTTCTTCCATGCAAGAGGAATCGGGCGAAAGTCGTGAAAGGTGTTTGGTAAAGAAATATATACTTGTAAATCATGTTTATAAAATTCGGCTCATGTATTGAAACAAGTAGCTTGATGTTAGAGTGAAACATGTCTTATCTATATAGCTAGGAGCACATCCAGTTTCACTGATGATGTCCTCTATATATGTTAAATTACAGGAGAAACTTGCAGAAGTGAATCCTACGAAAAAGAATACCACAACTACTCAGGTATATGCTTTGAAATAAAGCTAGGTGATGTTGAAGTAAATTTGCACTAAATGATCCATTGAAAACAAATTCAATATATTTAATCTTTCAAGATTTCACATTTCAGTTAACAATACTATTCTAATTCTCCTTAATCGCAATAATTACGGATAGAGACTCTTTACAAGATTTACACTGGCGGGTTTTGTACAGTACAGTAATATTGTTCTGTACTACAACATATATGGATGATACATAAATGTAATCACACGGAGCAAAACTTTAATCGGTAATTTGTTGTCATATTTAAAATAAGTAATTACTGTTAATTACCACCTCTGCTGTCGTTAATTAATATTTTTGTCACATTTTTGACAGGTAATTGGTAATGTTTTTATTGTTGTTTTTCCTTTATGGTTAACACTTTTATCATATTTTTGACAGATTGCTGAATTAGTGATTTTCCTTTGCTCACCAGCAGCAGACAACATGACAGGTACAGCTATTCCGTTGGATGGAGGATTGACCGCACAGTAGGACGGACATTGTATCTAATGTGCACTCCCAAACAGGCCGTGCATAATTACTCGCATTGTTTACAGATGAAACCCTTTTGTGGACATTACCTCAATTTTATTCTAAACTTATCTTTTTTTTTAAACATTCCTTGCCTAAATGGCAAATATGATACAAGGCGTTACCAAACTTTTGATGGATTTAGTATATCTATAAAAGACCATATTTAATATCGTTTTTAGATAATTTTGTAAAAAGGAAAAATTTTGAATAAATGAATTTACAAATGAAACTTATATTTACAGCCTAGAAGAAAATCTACATATAAGCCAATACATTTGGAATTTGATGATATGAGTCATTCACTTTCCACTGAAATAAACAAAAGTTTCCTAAAATATTATACGAGAATATGAGAGTTATAATGCAAGTTTTCTTCCGGGAAATCTTTCTTGAATTTTTAATGGGAGCATATTCATGCCATCCAGATAAATATTGTCAACAAAAGATATCGCCTAAAGTCGAGATAATCATCTCGTCAAGTCAAGATAACTGGCTGGTTTTGTCGAGATACACCAACTTCTGTCTCATCTAGTCAAGATAAACTATCACATTTTGTTATGATAGCTATCTCGACTTGACGAGAAAAATTATGGTGTATCATGACTAGAATTGTTGCGTTGACAAACACTGCCTTTTTTCTAATTTACTTTTCGAAATAATAAAATACACTTCAGGCATTTCGCTGACCATTAATTTATTTTTTCAGTAGACTGGTGTCGATTAATTCAAAGCACGGGTTCTATTAGGATTGGATTTTTGCTTTTGTTCTTAACATCGCTTTTCGTTTACACATTTCTTGTTAAATAATAATTGGATGCCTAGGGACTGTATAAATATTATAATGGAACAATTTTCTTGTTTGTATATATGTTGTAAGTTATGAACTACTCTCCAATTCCTTGTTCGTTAAACTGCTTCTAAAACAACCAACGTTTAAAGCAATTTTGAAGATTTTAGGGATAACTGCTAGGATGCTGCTCAGTTTGACACAACACAACACAACACAATTGTTAAGGAATTGAAATGGTCATTTTTTTTAACTAATAAATGACGAAGTATTACGCCATACCCAAAAGGGGACAGTGACTAGTCAACAAATTAAAAATACAACAATCCTAGAAAATAATATACAGAAAATCATGTCATAGTATTGTGACTAAAATAAATATTTAAAAGTTTTATAAGAGCTCAACCCCTGATCTACTCAAAATTTTTAAATGTCAGGAACTTTGCGTCTTATTAAAATTATTTTACTAATGTCGGATCGCCACAATATGGCTGAAAAATTGCCAAATCGGCGTTAAACAATAACAATTAATCAATCTTATGTGGGGACACTTTGTGCTGATATTAGGCAAAAGCTTGTTTCACTGCTTTTTTTTATATTTGATACATACAGAATACAGATCGATAAATGAATATTATGTTTATTCATGATTGATTTTTTTTTCTGAAAAAAAAAATAAGAAACGTGCAAGAAGAAAAAATCTGGTGTAATGAATTAGTGAAATAGCTTTATGCTATTAGTTGATAATATATTATTTAAATAACCGACTATCGCAATAACACATTACATAATATTTATCAACCTTATCAGCTCAAATGACAGTGTGGGTACTTCACAAAGAAGAAGTCTAAGTATTTTTATCTAAGGTAACCTGTATATGTGCCACACTACAGACGCCCAATAGTGCAAACTAAAAATAGATAAAAATAAAAAAAACGAAATTATTTAAAAAAAACAAAATTATTAAATAAAGAAAACGAAATTATTCAATAAAGAAAGCAGAAAACGACATTATTAAATAATGAAAACGAAAACGAATTTAAAAGAAAAACAACTGAAACTAAAATACGGAATTTATAGATGCGCATGGTAAGGACCTGAATTAACCCATGAATCATTCCATAAAGCGCACGTGTTCTATGACTTGATTTTGTTTCGACATTAAAACAAGTGTGATATTTGCATTTACACTCAGCTATTCCCGTATCGATAACAACCAGTTGGAGTAGACAATCACAATTTATGAATAAGGGAGAATTTTACCTTTGGTTATCCAATATGCTTAGATCTATGTTTTTATCTTACATTAACATGATTACGCGGGTACGTTAAGGCAGTACACAGATCATATTTCGGCGAATTTATACTTTTTTCGTAAAATTTAACATTGATAAATCGGAAATGCCATAGATAAAACATTTACTATTATTATCCATTATATAGACGTCATTGAGTCTTAGGCTAAAAAAAGCACTCTACTACGACGTCATCACGTGACGTCTATAAATAGAAAAATTGCCATAATGAAAAAGTGAAAAGTTCAACACTACCCCGGGGATAATTCATTTCTTTTTGTGAAAATAATTATGTAAAAACATCACTGGACCATGGAAAGTGATGCTAGAATCCTACTCTCCAAACACAAAAAAAAATATTCCAAAGTTTCGCATGAAACAATACCAAAATTTTTACATTTTATACATACGATCAAGGAATTGTCATCAATTTATGTTAACCACACGATTCAAGCAGCACTTTCCAAGTACTATAGAATACAAGCTTTCGATACAAACAAAACTTATGTTTCACGGTATGCGGCGTAGTGTTGAACTTTTGCATCTTTGTTGTTATAGAGCGACAGAGGAAAAGCTGATCGGGATTTCAAAGCACTGCCTGTGTTCATTACAAGAAAACATTATAAGAATATATAAGCGTACCTGATTCATAATCTTTAATTCCTTATGAATCACACATAACATCAACGGTATATGCTTTAAAACTCCTATTTCATGTATTTGTTTAGATGAATTCTCGTCACGTTTCATTTTCACTCGGCAAATATTTGATCAATAGTTATGACGTCATGGGTATGGTATTTAACCCCCGTGATAAATACTTAGCTATTTATATCACCCAAAAACGACATGATTTAGTTTATGTTATGTTTTTGAATGATTCCATTCATTTCTTGGACCTGAAATTAAACTTTAAATATAGATATTAAGAAATCATTATTTGTAAAGATCACGTCATACAGCTTACTATGTCGTCATATTGGAAAGGCAAGTAGGATATCTCTGGGTGAAGCCTTGACATACCCGTGTAATGTGAATTTTGACCAGTCTGATGAATTGGCCAAGTTTACGTTAACATTATCTTTCTAGCTCAGAAGGTCTAATTATCAGCAGACAATGAATCTGGACATGAAACATCAAAGAGATTATGCTAATAAATTGCACAAATATTTAAGATATACATGTCTGTTAAGATTTCGTTGTTTACAACTGCTTATCTTTATAACATTTAGGAAATCCCTATAGCTATACATCATTTTTCAATTATCGCACAGTACAAAAATGCTGTAAAATGATACGTTACGGATCGGATTTTGCGGTTTGTTTGACATTATTAAAATTGTTTAAAGAGAGTAAGTGCAAAAATTAAACAAGTCAAAGTGGTTACAATGAGTAGATTTTTATCATTGCTTACTTAGTTAAAAATTAAGCAAAACACTTCTAATTTCTTGGTCATTTTATCAAAGCGTAATTAGAAGTGATGCACTAACTATTTGTTCTCACATATTTTAAATGACAAATTCTCAATCTGTATTTATAAGTCAGTGATAGTTGTGAACAAACAATGCACATACTTGCATAACAAATCCCACAAAGTATTCATATCATTCTCTTTATTGTTTCAACAACCTAAGATTTATGGGTACACAGATAGGGTGCTTTGATTAGTTCCGGGGGAATTCAGCAATACGATACGCAAGGTCTTGACCTTTCAGCGATTCATGAGCTCTTTCGGAATGTCATTAATTTTATGTAAGGAGAAACAGCCATCCTCGCTACGTCCAAGCTTACAGGCGCAAACTTTGACCTTGTGGGGATGTGACACAGCATCAAATTCCCGTGAACAAAATTGAACAGTTATGAATAGTTTACTTCAAAAAGTTAACTTACTTTATTCTTTTAGCAAAGTTGTCCTGTGGTAAGTTTTTTTCTTACTAAAATATATTTAAAAATATGCAATCAATGCTTTGACAAGGCAATCTTAACTAAATATTCAAGTTGTCTATAGAAATTTCAGTGATACATATACATGAATTTAGAGGGTGCTTTGGTACGTGTACACAAAGGTTGTACAGCGTCTGAAACGTTCTACTTTCCAATTTTTTCGTTTGTTAAGAGTGTGTTCACCGTTTCTTCAGCGTGCGTTCACCGTTCAGCGTTCGCTCACTTGCGCGTTGCTTAACGTTTACAGTTTTTGCGTTCTGCGATCACCGTGCGCTCGCTTTCACCGTTCACAAAGTTTCGTTCAGATTTCATTCACTGTTCGTTCGTCTTGCGTTCAGCGTTCGCTCACTGTTCCTTCACCTTGCTTTCAGCGTTCACTCATCGTTCAGTCTTCATTGTCATTTGGAACTCGGAAGTGAAAGGGCTGACTTATCATTTAAAGGGGAAAAGAACGTTAAAGTAAAGTTTTACTGATTTTGAAAGGATGAATCGTTTAAACGTCCAAATCTGGCCCCCCGATAATTTACAAAAAATTAAATTAAAGATTTTCTTCACATTTTTGCCTCAATCTTTCCATCAAACATTGTAGTTTATTAATTTCAATTTCAATTTCTACTTCCTTGCACAGTAATTAGGTATTTATGTGATTAATATAGCAGGGGTATGTTGTTAACATCGATTTCTTCTAGACTTTAGGTCACACCCCTATTTTGCAAGCCCATATTTTGTATGAGCGCATGGATGTTTCAAGTTGTCAAAAATACGGTCAATGTAAAAAGTTATACTAGTCATTTACGTACATGAAAGAAATTGAAACAGTCTTGCTCTCATTTGTTATTTTCCAAAAAGGTGCAAAATCACTTGTGCTTGTCTCCATAGTAAAGGCACCTTGTTTACAAATTTCAACCCCTCTTTGACCTCATGAATAACAAAGCACTGAACACGTGACTCAAATCTATTCACTTCCACGCTTTGAGCACACCTATGCAACATTGTGTCTGCGAGCTATCGATGGTCAAATCATTTTTCAAATGGGTAATTAAAATTCTGGGAGAAAACTTTTTTATGATTAAGATGTTTTAAGATTTTTGATTTATTTGTTATCAAACGGTATTCCAGTCGATTTCATTTGATTTTTTTTCGGTATTTATCAATTTATATTAAAGTCCTGTAGCATATAGCTTGCATTTTCTGCTTGTGTCT